ACTTCGGCGAAGAAGATATGGAAAATACTCAATGAAAAGTATCTTACTAAGAGCATTGAGAATCGGCTTCACTTGAAGAAGATGTTTTATCAGTTCAAGATAAAGAGGGGAGTTTCCATTAAGGAGCATGTTAACAACTTCACAAAGCTACTTTCAGACATGGCTAATGTGGATATCATGGTTGAGGATGAAGACAAGGCGATGCTACTTTTGTTTTTGTTGCTTGATGATGATTATGGTACTTTTGTCCTAACTATGATTAATAGAAGAACTACTGTTAGTTACAAGGAGGTGACCTCAGCGTTGGTGAATTATGAGTTGAGGAAGAGTGTTGATGAATCTTTCGAGAAGGCATCGGGAGATGTATTAGTAGTTCAAGGCCGTGGTTCAAACCGAAGCATAAGGTCGCGGTCTAGAGGTGCACATCGTGGGATTCGTAGGAATCAGTGTGCCTTTTGTAAAGAGGATGGACATTGGAAAGCCGAATGCCCAAAGTTAGATCGAGCCGAGAAGAATAAGGGGAAAGCTGTACAAGCTTCAGAGGTGAATGTTGTCAAGACTAGTGGCAAAAATTTAGATTCGGATTCTTCGGGCTATTCGTTGTCTGCACTATCGTCAGTTTCTGTTGCCAACTCTACAGAGTGGATGTTGGATTCGGGTGCTTCATACCACGTTTGCCCTAGGAGTGATTGGTTCTCCAGCTTTCAGAAGTTGGAAAAAGAGGATATTATGCTCATGGGTAATGGACATGCATGCTCTATTGGTGGTATTGGTATCGTTCGTATTCGAATGTATGACGGAGTGATTCAGGAGTTGGATGAAGTGAGGTTCGTTCCACAGTTGTCGAAGAACATCATTTCACTAGGAGCTTTGGTGGCATCTGGCTATAAAGTGACCTTGGTGGATGCACGTTTGAAGGTCACATTAGGGTCCATGATTGTTATGAAGGGCATCAGAAGGAGTAATTTGTATTATTTGCTCGGAAGCACGGCGATTGATAGAGAGATGACGACTTCATCAGATTCGGTTAGACTGTGGCGTTGTTTGATGCTGGGTTATTTGATTGGTAATGCCGTGCATAGGTTGTTAAGGAGTGCTTTGACCTACAGTTTGAAGTCCTGTGAACCCATTGGTATGAGCAAGAAGACCGAGGTGGAGTTTGGCACTTCTATCCATCATTCGAGGGGTCTTATGAGGGGGTGTTCATTCAGGCATTCGAGGGCCTTCCAAGGGAGCATTATTGGGAGGTAATAGGTATGTGGTTTCCGCAGTTAGGGATTGCTCTAGGCATTGGTGGGTTGCAACCAAGTCCCGTTGGTGTGAAGTCCTAGAAGCCCGCAACAGATGGAGGAAGTGTGTTGGTAGAAAGGTAACCCGACGTTCTGATTATGGTAGGGGTTCTTTCTTGCATTTGTGTCGAGCTCACGGCAATATGAGACACTTCATTGGTGTGGAAACTTTGAGGCGACGTGATGAGATGGCATATTTGGGGAGCTGTTTCTTTCTGGAGGAGGATCGGCGTTTGATGTCGAGCATTGACATTGGTGTGCGGGTTACGACATGTTTGGGCCGTCTCATGTATAGGTTGTCGACTGCTGCATGTAGAGATTTTAGATCTGGTGGAGCTGCTTCAGATTTTGGGTTGCGTCGGATGTTTGGCTACCCAGCACTTGGTCACATCGTGGATGTGAGATTTGATCCGATAGCACATTTGGGAGTCAGAGGCGTGTTTGATTATCAGGTATTGGCTTCTGACTTTGTTCTGAGCAGATATGTCACGTTTGACTCTCTGCAAGTGGAGAGTGGTGATTAGATCTTTGGGACATCGCAGCGGGTGGAGAGTGATGCTACTCCATGTTGGGTGGAGACTCCAGATCATACTGCATCATTTGGGATTCTAGCTGATGTGACACAGATTGGGAATCGTGTTGATTTGGATGCAGATGATAGGTTGATTGATTCGAGTACAGCTGATAGATGTAGTCTGGATATGGCCATTGGTTCATCTCAGGTGGAGATGTTTGGATCATTTCAGTTTGGGACCATTGGAAGTGCTATCAGCCGTAGACTTGATCGTGATGTTGGAGAAGGGTTGCAAACTCTTCTATTGGATTGAGGTCGTTAGCGGCTATTTGGTTGAACTACGTTCGGCTTGATTCCTTGGGCAAGAGGATACGTAGGCAGTCTTTCAGATGCAGCCGGTTTGGATTAGTTGATTTTGATGGGGGTAAGATTGATTTGGTGAGTAGACACTGTTGGTTTGAGTGAGTGTTCGCACTCCCGTTTGGGTCTCGACTTGTTGTGGATGGAGTCCGTTATCATGAGTCTATTGCCATGGCGTACTGGACACAACAAGTGAGGCATTTGATATGGTCGGTGTCGGCTCAGTTTTGAGAAAACTTCGCCGAGGTGGAGAATTGTGAACGCGTGAGAGGATTTGAGTTTTTGTCCAGCGGATAAACACGAGTTAGTGGACTTTTGAGTGCGTGTGTGAAGAGATCACATTGCCTCTTGTAAACACGTGAAGAGATATGGCATTTGGGTTCAAAGCAAAGTCCAGCGGATAAACACATTTACTAGTTGGAGCTGTCAAAGCCGCGTGAAGAGAATGATGTGGGGTCCACCTTCACGTGAGAAGTTGAGGAGTTCGTGGGCGTGTCAAAGCCGCGTGAAGAGAATGATGTGGGGTCCACCTTCACGTGAGAAGTTGAGGAGTTCGTGGGCGCCGGGGAGTTCGTGAACGCGTGGAGAAAACGCGTTGGTTAAAAACGCGTTCGTGGGACGCGTTTCAATGCATGGGCGCCAGGTTATAAATAGCCTGATGTTTTCCTAGGGCAGAAGTGTGAAGAGGCAAAAGGGAGAAATAGGCACGCAGCTGTACTAGGAGCAGTGCAAGGAGCCGACTTTTGGGTAAAAGAGAGTTTCGTTGCTGCAGAGGGCAAACGCAGACTATTGTCCTTTTGGTTTTTGGCAGTTGTTCTTTGGGTATTTGGCTGCTGTCCTTTTGTGAGGGATTTGAGAGTATTTGTTTGAGGGTTTTAATTGTGAGATTGTAAACCCTAGTTGTATTCTCTCCCTCTATTAGTAGATCTCCCCCCTCCTTGCCCCGTGGACGTAGGCTATTTGCCGAACCACTTAAAATTTGTGTTCTTACCGTGATTTGTAATAGCTTGTTGGATCCCTCGACAGGTCAGTCCTAGAACTGATGAGAAGAAGAGCCGATATCTCACTTTGTTGAGATATCCGCTTCAGATTCTTGTTTCCTTGGTGAGACAGGAATTCTTACGATCTAATCTCTTGTTGTGCACCTTGCGCACCGGAGATTCTGCCGAAATTTCCGCTGCGCACAACACAACATTCTTTAATCGCTACCAGATCAAAGATGAGACTAGCATCCTCAAAAAGAAAAAGGAAGGCAAACTATCGATTTCCTTCTCTTTGAAATCATCATCTTTCTATTTTGAAAGAAGATACGCCATTACAACTCCCAAGGTATAACAGTCTAACTATCCTCTCCGGATTTGACAACCTGAATATCAAGGGAAAGGGGTAATACACCACTATTAGGAGAGAGCATAACATAATGAGTAAATGCCGTCACCATCTTTGACTTTTTGGATGGGGGTGGGGGTGGGGGTGGGGGGATAATTAAGGTGAGTTCGGTCTCGTGGGCCATCACCACCTTTTTCCTAGCTTGTTGGCAAGGCTCAAGGGCCTTGACCTTGATAAAATAGACTAGGTGCAGACCTCCCACAATTTTGAGTAAAATTGATTACTTATTGACCGAGTTGTCTACTAACTTGGCATGATTTGACTAATCCAAACGTAAAAAAATTTGAGTTATATGATAACACGTTGCTATTTAAAAGGTGCCAACGCGACAAAACTTTTTAACATTGCTCTAGCACACATCAAATCCTTGCTGTATCAAATAAATTAAATCTTGCCGCAATGTCCATCAAACTTGATTTTTAAGGAGACTACCGATTCTTTAAATTGCATTTATAATTGTTACTGATAAATGATAAACCTTAGAATCAACCAAGGGGGCATTTACGAATCTACAAAGAATAATCTTTGAATCCATAAAGAGACAAACTCAAATCCACGAAGTAAAAAAATCAAAAGCAATATGCCTCTTGGACTTATATTCATCTGCTTAAATAGGAAAAAAGTAGATTTCTATTAAGACATGAAATTATCAAAAATAGAAAGTATTGAAACTACTCAATAAAGACTCCATGTGATTGAAGAGATCAATTGTGAAATTTGAGATCGAACTGGATTTATTAATTAATCAAAACAGACTGCTAAATCATTACCTAAAATAGCAAGAAAATTGACAAAAAACCCGACATCTCTCAACCGGGAAGGAATTTCTAGAAACAGTCGGCGATCAATTGAGCACTGTAGGCTTAGTTAACTCCGTCAACAAAAACCATGCAATTTCCTATATTTTTGTCTACGAGATATGTTGCAAGCTACAATCCCTTACCGGGCCCCCCTTTTGACTTTTGACGGGCCATGTTCTCCACGAACACATCTTAGGCCAATTCCGGCCCACTTTTTTTTAAAGCCAAAAAAGAGGCTTAAAACTAGTTCTGTAAAACACCCATCGATTCAGAAAAGAACTAGTTCACCCCGATACGAGGTCGAGGTCAGGGTCAGTCCTGACCTAGTTTTGAGATCTTTGCCAACAATCACCTAAAAACTGGGTCAAGTTTAGTCTTAACCCAGTTCTTTTCTAAACCAAGTTTAGAGTTGGACTAAAGGGGTGTTGGTCCAGCACTAAATTGGTTCTAAGACCTATTTTCGGCCTCAGAAGAACCGGGATAGAAGTGGGACAACTTTTACCAATCACAAATTAACCAAAACTGTGCCATGTTCAGTCATGACTCGGTTTTAAGAGTTTGCCAAACACACCCTAAATGTCATTTGCAGCCCAAAAATTGCAACCACAACTCACGACTTATGCCTAAACATCTGCTTAAGTTATCAGCTGCAACTAAAAATTTTCTCCAACTGTTAATTGCAATGCAGTTGTAGTAGACAGAAGAACCGCAATTGATCCAAAAAAAATTTAATGCAAACTACGAAACTTCACTGTGAATCTCATTTCACGTAGAAATGGATGCTTCTAAAAGAGAGATCTATACAAGCAGTCAACAAGAAAACGTACACCATCTGCTATTACTTAACCCTTTTCACAGAGGAAACACTGGTGTGTAAAAAGTTGCCTCAGATTTCATGAATCCTCACTTAGCAAACAGTTGCCTTTGCCTTCTGCTTGCTTTGTACTGTAAATTAGAAACAGCATCACCATTCACAACTTCATCAACCAAATCCTTAAATACCAACCTCTCAACCTCTAATACTATCCCTGGCACCTCCTTACCAAACTCCGACCACCCTCTCGACCGACGAAGAATATCTTCAACCGATATCTTGACCTCATCCTCAGAGTTCTCGTTGGTTGCAGCCTCAGCCCGAACCTGAAGCTGATCAATCTCCTGACACAACTCTTTCAATAACTTCTGCCCGCTAGGAAATCGGCACGAAATCTTTATAGGGTTTGAGCTCGAAAGTTCAAGCTTTTGGATCAGGACCTCATTCACCGCATCAAACACAAGCTTTCGGTGGAGCTTATCTTGATCAGTCTTGGACTGGAGAGCTTTGGTTTGCTCGAGGACGAGGAACAAATCTGGGTTGATCGGATGGCCTGAAGGGTGGAGCTGAATGGGCTTTGGGCCTAATGGGCTTGCATTGAGGTCTCTAAGGAGAAGGCCTGATGCTATGAGGATCTCTGACACGTAGCGATGATCAGGGTTCTGGGTTTCGCAAAGAGAAGCAATGTGATCAGTGGTCGAAAGTCCATTGTCAGTTGAGCTCAGCTCACTGAGCTTTTGTACTAGGTTTTCAATGTTCCTGAGCTTCTTCTGGTTAATTTGGGAGCTTGACCTCTGCGATGATGTCCAGGATTCATCGGAGGTCTGATTCTTGTTATCTGTTCAAGCACAAGATAGTAAAAGCGTTAGCACATAACTCAAATTCCAAAATTGATCATTTTCTTCTGTTTATAGATGTTACTTTGAATAATCAACAGCTGATATGGCAAGCAGTTCTTCCTATGTGTTTGAAATCACATTAATATGAATGTCTTAGCAAAAAAAACAAAGGATAATATTTCAGTTACAAAAAATGTCTCTATGGTCACTGCAGTTGAGAGTTTGAGAGTAAAACTTCAGATTTACACATCTTGGGAAAGGAACTGATTAGGCATCTCGCGAAAGGAACTGACCAAAAATTGATGAATCGAAGAATTTTCCATACCACAGATCTGTTCAGGTTGCTAAAAACAATCATGTTTTGTGCAGGTAGTTCTATATAGGACAAATTGCAACATTCGACTTGATAATTTAAAAACATTTTGTTGTCTATATCGAGCCTGCTGCAACACAGCATAACTTGAAGTTGCATATTGCCATAATAATGATGTTGTTCAGAGAGGTTTCTCAAAAAAAAAGAAAATGTTTTGTCACATAAATTGCTCAAAATCTATCAACATGAGATTGTACGTGTTATCTAAGGCAGCATCCTTAAGTTGATAGAAGTTTGTAAAAGCAATTTCGCAGATGATTTTCCACAAATCCCTCACAGCCCAAATTTATCCTTTTTATCAATGTGAGCTCCAAATTATTAATGGAAATAATCACCATTAAAGTGAACTATGTTATAGAAATAATCACCATTAAAGTGAACTATGTTATATATATTATGGCTTTCGCAATGAATTTAGACAGAAAATATCGACAAACATGAAGACACTTGCCTTTAGGGGTCTTCAGATTCTTCTTTGAAGGAGATGGCGACGTGTCATTTTGGCAGAATGAAGCATCTAGAACAGAAATGGGGCTCGGATGTTCAATAATTGGAACTTCTCCACTTAAATTGATTGGAGGCTTCTGAAACATAAAGAAGCGTGAAAGAGATTAATGGTAGGAATAAATAGTTAAACAATCAATTTCTCTCATGAAATGAAAAAAGGCTCAAACCCCCTTAACTTTGGGGTGATTCGGAAAAATCCCCCAAATGATTTCATTTTTTCCAACCAAACCCTGTTACCGGTGATAGTGAAACTAGTAAAAAGACCAAAATATCTGTTTCAAATTAACACTATAATTATTGAAGTAACTTAAATCAGATTATAATCATTAGTAAGGGGTTATAAAAATGACCTTTAACATTACTAAAAGGGATCTAAAAGGGGTTTCTGATCACGGGCATTTTGGCCATTTGCATGCGAGTGGTTTCATGTGCACAGTCAGACATATGATGATAGTTACGGTGTTATCTAACAAAACCTAAAAGGGCTTGAAGTGACCTTACCAAAGTTTAAACTTAACCCACTAGCATGCTATGCAGTATTTTTACAGAACAAAGCACCCCCTGACCACAAAAAAGGAGCAACAGGAACCCTTCTTTTGTTAACAAACAAATGTAGACAGTTTGAGGGAAAATGTTGGATGAAAATAGCAAGGTACAAACCTTTTGCTTCTTGACTGAAGAAGCTTTTTTAGCAGTTCTCGGACTCCTGCCGCCTTCAGACCGATCAGCACTTGTTACTTCTATATCCACCTCCGATGACAAGCTAACATAGCTATCCGACCTTTGAGAAATTTCATGACTCTCACTCAATTGCTCATCGTTATCTTGCACCTGTGCTGGTTTTTGTCTAAGTCTATTTCTCGGTGAAACTGATTCTATTGGCTTTTTGTTAGAAGATGACCTGTGAGGTTTGTTTGCGTCTGAAGAAGGAAGTGGAGGTCGAGATCTCTCTGCCTCAAGCCTTTTCTGTTGTAGCCTTGGGCTCACAGAGCCTGAAGTCTTTAATGAGCTTCCAGCATTCTCTCTTGTTGACTGCTGAGCTCGGGTTGTTGAAACCTGAGCTGTTTTTGTTCGAAGTTTCAGTGATCCAGTGTCTTCGATCTTGGAACTAGTTTTCTTATCAAAAATCTCTTTCAAATTAGTTTTCTTCTCAGATGCCTTCAGCTTCTGGATGCCTTGTAGGCTTGATCTTTTAATAGAACTTGCCGGCTTCATGATGACAATAGGAGATTCAAAAGTTCCTGGAGTTCTACTTGCTGATCTCAAAGTTTGGTTATCAGCTCCTTCATCGCCGTTCTTGGTTTCCAACAGCCCTTTTTCTTGCATAGCATCCAGTATCTGTTGAAGTGCCCTGAGATCTTTATTGGATTGTCGAAATTCTAGTTCTTTCAATTTCTTCTCTATGTCACTGTAATAAGCCGATTCTGTTTGCTGCTTCATCTGAGCTTCTCGGTGTACAAATGCTGCTTTCTTTGGAACATGGCGTTTCTCCGTCTGCCTCCAAGGTGCTGTTTCGACTGGAACCTTTGAATTTGATATGGGCTTCATTCTTGAATCAGGACCCTTTATCTTGATTGATCTCTTTGGAGAGGGAAGCCAATTTTCTCCATCGTCATTGGAGGTTATTGATGGCATTGGTCTTGGTTCCTTCAAAGGATCTTGAGTAACCAAACTCAAGCTTGGCATTGCTTCCAAGCCCATGAGCTTCGCGACGACACTAGTGGAGCGCTTGTGAGTACCCAATTCTTGTTCAAGATTTGAATCTGTAGAGACTCTTTGGTTGCTATTGCTTCTATCTAAATCCTTGAAGTTTGAGTTTGGTCTGGATTCAAAGTCAGAATACCTCAGAGAACCTTCCCTGCTATCCAAGGACAATCTTGGGAGATCTCGGAAATTAGAGGGCAACTTGCCATCCTCTCGAGAATCCAGAGATTGACGAGTGATTTCTCTCCCATCAAATGAGAATCTGTGAGCTTCCTTCGATTCTGGGTAGGACGAAACATTTTTCGCCTCAAATGAAGTTCTTGGGGATTCCCCGAATTCGGAGAAATGCCAAGGTGCCTCTTTGAGCTTAATGAGAACGCGGATAGATTCATCGAGATCAATAGGCAGTCCTAATTTTCCATCAGTTAATCTTGACAGCTGAATAGGCCTCGGAGAGTCTCTGTGCTGCAATTTGTGGTTCTTCACTTCCTGTTTTGATGAGGTTTTGACTGATAAGCCTCGGGAGTCTCTGTTGATGGAGCCCTTAACAACATCCCTGAAATCTAGTGATCGGCGAGCTGTGTGGATTGACGCATCTGATGCGTCGCTGCGAGGCCCATAACGAGGGGGTCGGCCGTCAGTATTTGGAGTCTTAAGCTTCGGTGAACACTTTGTGGACTTGTCTGGAAAAATTGTTTGGTCACAGAGGAGAGCCTCCTGCTGAGTTGATTTGTTATGGTCAAGAGAAGAAAATGAGGAACACGATGAAGATGAGAATGAAGTTCTTGAGGACTCCATGGAGATCCTCCGGTTCTCATTCATGCTCCTATTAAGATTCCTTTCCTGCAAGATTACTTGTATGTTTAAAATTCCTGAACATAATGGCAGATGAATGAGAACTCTTCATTCAACATTCAGTCAAGATTTTACCAGAACAATATGCGGAGAACTTGAACATTGCTCGGCTACACTAGTGGAAACTCCATGGCCTAAAGAATACTAAGAAGGATTAGGTCTGAAGGAAAAGGGAAAAAAAATGTAGGAATCATCATCTCCAACAAGAAGTTACCTCTCAGAATAAAAACTCCAAAAAAAAAACAATGTTATATTGCTAGAAGAGGGGAAATAAATTCCAATTTCTAGAGAAGTTGGACAAGCATTTCGCAAAAAAAAAAATGCATAGTAGGCTAAAAATTATGAAGAAATTATGTGGTAGAAAAGGGGAAATATTGGTAGGAAACAGGTACATAATTCATTAAGTACAGCATCAAGCTAATATTGGTAGAAAAAAGGGTAATGAATTAGAATTTATCAAGCAGTTGGACATGCAATTCATGAAAAATGTAATCTGATAAACATATGCGAGCCTGCCGACTGTAAACCAATCAAAGAGGGTTCATCAGCAATTTCATTACAAACTGAAAAACCCCTATGATTCGCAAAGAATATTTGCTGACATAAGAATATTTGCTGACATAAGAAGATTTGCTGGTTTAGTAATTCTCACAACATGTAGATCGCTTGCATAAGGAAAATTTCTAACAATTCTCCGAAGAAAAATTGGGATACACCCAACATTAAAAAAAATAAAAAAAATACATGAACAGAAATAACTTCAACAAACAGATGATCATAACAATGCGTGAGATAATACTTGCAGCAAAATTACCTGAAGGGTGCCTCTTATGATTGTGACCGTGGGTTCGCCTCCCAGTTATTACATGCTGCCGATCAAACATTTGAAAAATCCCTGTCATGCATCCAATTTGCCTCTGCAGCTCTGGGTTCTCCTCAGTGAACACGTGTAGGAACTTAGCCGACATCTCGAAATCTCCTCTACCCAACAATTCAATCAGATTTAAGCCCAGAATCAAGAACCAAACGAAATGTCTGAAACACCCAGGAAAAGAAAAAAAAACCCCTGGAATTTTGCGCTCAATTTCAGAAACTCTTAATGCTGTGACCTGAGCTTGAGGGAACCAAGGTTATATTTGAGGCCTCTAAATAAAAAATAAAATAAAAAAGGAGCTCCTTTCACCCCCAACTAACTGCCATCAACGAAAAGGCCCAGATTTCTCTCGATACCAAAATCTCTTTTTCACCGCATTAAAACCAGTTTTTATGCAGGTAGGAGACAACTCAACTCAACTGAGCATCAGTTTCAGGTCCTCTCAAGTTCATGAGCATCCAAAGCCCAGTTGTACTCTAAAAAGCCGATAAAAATAAAAAAAACTTTCATAAAAGCACAGAGTGGTTTTCTCACATGGGTCGCGTATCAAAGCGCCAGACGCTCAACAGATAGGAAAAAAATCCAATCTTTTAAGAAGAAAAACAGAAGCCAACATCACAAAAATCCTCAACGGTGCAAAACACCACGGACCCAAGTGAAAATTTCAGGAAATAAAAGCGGCAGAAAGGAAAAATGATGCTTTTTCCCCCCCTTATTAGTTCTTCTCTCCCTGCGGCTTCGTGGCGTTGGCTGTTGAGGAAAGAAGAATCAAATGTATCTAAGATTATTTTATTCTCCCAAGTTTAGAGAGAGAGAGAGGAGAGCTTGGGTATTGGATGAAATGTGTGAAAGGGATGGCTCAGTAATTTGGTCCCTTTACTATACAATTCCATGTGGGAGTGATAATTGTTTGTGGGTCACTTTGCTGTCCATGGCCTAAAGAATACTAAGAAGGATTAGGTCTGAAGGAAAAGGGAAAAAAAATGTAGGAATCATCATCTCCAACAAGAAGTTACCTCTCAGAATAAAAACTCCAAAAAAAAAACAATGTTATATTGCTAGAAGAGGGGAAATAAATTCCAATTTCTAGAGAAGTTGGACAAGCATTTCGCAAAAAAAAAAATGCATAGTAGGCTAAAAATTATGAAGAAATTATGTGGTAGAAAAGGGGAAATATTGGTAGGAAACAGGTACATAATTCATTAAGTACAGCATCAAGCTAATATTGGTAGAAAAAAGGGTAATGAATTAGAATTTATCAAGCAGTTGGACATGCAATTCATGAAAAATGTAATCTGATAAACATATGCGAGCCTGCCGACTGTAAACCAATCAAAGAGGGTTCATCAGCAATTTCATTACAAACTGAAAAACCCCTATGATTCGCAAAGAATATTTGCTGACATAAGAATATTTGCTGACATAAGAAGATTTGCTGGTTTAGTAATTCTCACAACATGTAGATCGCTTGCATAAGGAAAATTTCTAACAATTCTCCGAAGAAAAATTGGGATACACCCAACATTAAAAAAAATAAAAAAAATACATGAACAGAAATAACTTCAACAAACAGATGATCATAACAATGCGTGAGATAATACTTGCAGCAAAATTACCTGAAGGGTGCCTCTTATGATTGTGACCGTGGGTTCGCCTCCCAGTTATTACATGCTGCCGATCAAACATTTGAAAAATCCCTGTCATGCATCCAATTTGCCTCTGCAGCTCTGGGTTCTCCTCAGTGAACACGTGTAGGAACTTAGCCGACATCTCGAAATCTCCTCTACCCAACAATTCAATCAGATTTAAGCCCAGAATCAAGAACCAAACGAAATGTCTGAAACACCCAGGAAAAGAAAAAAAAACCCCTGGAATTTTGCGCTCAATTTCAGAAACTCTTAATGCTGTGACCTGAGCTTGAGGGAACCAAGGTTATATTTGAGGCCTCTAAATAAAAAATAAAATAAAAAAGGAGCTCCTTTCACCCCCAACTAACTGCCATCAACGAAAAGGCCCAGATTTCTCTCGATACCAAAATCTCTTTTTCACCGCATTAAAACCAGTTTTTATGCAGGTAGGAGACAACTCAACTCAACTGAGCATCAGTTTCAGGTCCTCTCAAGTTCATGAGCATCCAAAGCCCAGTTGTACTCTAAAAAGCCGATAAAAATAAAAAAAACTTTCATAAAAGCACAGAGTGGTTTTCTCACATGGGTCGCGTATCAAAGCGCCAGACGCTCAACAGATAGGAAAAAAATCCAATCTTTTAAGAAGAAAAACAGAAGCCAACATCACAAAAATCCTCAACGGTGCAAAACACCACGGACCCAAGTGAAAATTTCAGGAAATAAAAGCGGCAGAAAGGAAAAATGATGCTTTTTCCCCCCCTTATTAGTTCTTCTCTCCCTGCGGCTTCGTGGCGTTGGCTGTTGAGGAAAGAAGAATCAAATGTATCTAAGATTATTTTATTCTCCCAAGTTTAGAGAGAGAGAGAGGAGAGCTTGGGTATTGGATGAAATGTGTGAAAGGGATGGCTCAGTAATTTGGTCCCTTTACTATACAATTCCATGTGGGAGTGATAATTGTTTGTGGGTCACTTTGCTGACTGCATTGGCCATGTGATAGCTGTCAGAAGATATACAGAGAGGAGAGAGAGAGAGAGAGAGAGATAGAGAGAGAGAGAGGTTTTGGAAATGACCTGCAACTGCAATGCTTTGTTACTGTCATTTTCCTTTGCCAACACCTCCTCCTTCTCTTGCTCTCTCTCTCTCTCTCTCCTTCTCTGTATTTCTATTTACCTTTATTATTGACAAACTGCTGCTTTTGTGGAAAAAAAGCTCACTGCCAGTTCAAGTGTACACACTGCAAATGAAACTTCCATGCCTCCCTCTCTGTTTTCCCTTTAAAATTAGGAAAAATTGCTTCTAGGCCCCAAATTTATATTTTTAATGTGCCTCAGCACCTCCTACTTTTTTTAATGTTCTTTAGCCTATCCTTTTTGAAAAAAATGTGTCCAAGCCCCTCCATCACTCATCCATCATGATTCCAGCTCATTTCAGCAGTTGATTAGACATGTCGGCTCATGATTAGACATATCAGCTGACTTAAATCCCGAATTTACCCTCCTCTTTCTCATGTCAGTGGATGTTAACTCTTTTCTGTAACATGTTAACTCTTTTCTGTAACATGTTAACTTTTTTCTGTAACATGTTAACTCTTACAGATAACATGTTAATTCTTACAGCTAACATGTTAACTCTTACAGCTAACATGTTAACTCTAACAGCTAATATGTTAACTCTTACAGCTAACATGTTAGCTGTAAGAGTTAACATGTTACAGAAAAGAGTTAATATTAATGTGTCCATGCGAAGTTCCTCGGGACGACGCCGGCGACGGAGCGGGGAAGGGGGCAAAGGGGGACCGAAGGAGGAGGAGGGAGGTGCAGCGGGGGAGAGAGACGGGGGGAGGGAGGCGGGGGAGGTGCAGCGGGGTAGGGAGGCGGTGAGGTTGCATGGGAACTTAGGGAGGGGCTTTTAATAATTTTTTCAAAAAGGGGGGGCTACAGTACATGTTTGAAAGTTGGGGGGCTAAGGCACATTGAAAATATGAATTTGGGGTCTTGAAGCAATTTTTCCTTAAAATTATATTTTGCTTCTTTAAGGGTTTCCCCTTGATTTGGTGTGTGGTGATGATCTGTATTCTGTCGTTTTTATTGTATTGATAAAAAGCCTTTACATTATTATTATCATATCTTTTCTATTGGTAAGAAACATACTAAATAAAAACTTAGCTTTCTTATGAACTTCCTTGTGTGCACCTTAG